AGATTTGAGTGAAATTTGGTCTTGGGTTTAATATTTGGTGATATGGGGAAGATTGCCATAATTTCAATCAAATAAATTATTTTGTATAGATAATGAGATTTATGTGGAAATGTGAAATTGGAAGGGCTTATAAATGAATGGTGTAATTGGATTTGATAAATCACTCACCTACGGAAAGTTTGGCAAATTATCTGTTTGATAGATTTGTTTATCTGTTTAGAAATATCTGTTTTGGACTATCGGTGAAGGATAGTTATGATTGTTGTAGAAACTGCATAAGGACTAGGTAAATTGAAACTAGTCATATGAATTATGTCATTGATTATGACGGTTTGATTAAATTGTTGAATGTGTGAATTTTGGTAGTCATTGTATATGACACGTTTTTAAATATGTTGTATATGTATCATTGTTTGGGAGGAGATAGGGGATGTACTCCATTATTTGGGAGGAGATAGGGGATGGACTCCATTGATAATTAAGTTGGCTGGAGTGTCTAGGGTGAAAGTCCCGAAACCTTATATGCATATATGTATGGGTGCCCGTTCCCTCGGATGTGATTCCGTAAAATGGCAAGAAAATGGAAGTGTTTGAATAATGGTTGTTATTGAAGTGTTAATAAATGAGTTGTAGTCTTGTTTTGAATGATTTAGTTATCAATGAACTATATCAATGAATTGATTTGGATAAATGAATAGAAATGGACTGAGATATAGATGTCGATATTGATTGGTCATGGAAAAAAAGAGTGTAAGTTGGTTTGCAAGTATTGAACATTTATCTGATGCTGATATCTTAGTTAGTTCTCATATATTGTTTTAGCATATCTCTACTGGGTTTTGGCTCACCCTACTTGGGAAACCATTTTCAGGTACAGGTGACATGCCGTTTCCAAGGACATAGCTTGGGAGGTTTAGAGGCAGGAGGCTCTATTTTGTTATTTTGTTTTGTGTTTATATGTTTTCTTTTAAGTTGAGGGTTTTAATTGTAAAGAGCTTATGACTCTCTTTTGTTGTAACCAAGTAATCCCTTGGAAAGATATAAGCCTGTAGGACATTTATTTTGTTGTTATTAATTAGTGTTACATGCTGTAGTTTCAGAATGAATATTTATGAAAGTGTAATGCATGTAATTTCTTTTGTAATATAAACTCTAATGAATGAAAGTAATATATTTCTTGTTATGTTTATGAATCTCTTGTTTTGTAATATAAACTCTAATGAATGAAAGTAATATATTTCTTGTTATGTTTATGAATCTCTTGAGTTGGTTTATATCATATTTTGAGGGCGTTACATAAAACAAAATCAGATAATTATCATTTTAATATATCAGATAAGTACTTCTTTGTATATATATATATATATAATGTATCATCTTAATTTATGTCTCTCCACTTGAACTTTCTACAGATATATCAACTCGAGAAAAAATAAAAATTGTAAAAATTTCAAACTTTGGTGCATTTCTCAACCAGAACTTTCTTCTTCACCTAAACTTAAAACTTATATCAGGTATACAATTAATCTATAACTCTATTACATGTTTTCATTTATTGCAATTAATATATTTACAGTGATGCTCAATAAAATTTCATTAGAATATGTGATATGTTTATTAATTTAGAGTAATGTATTTATGGTGATGCTCAATCAAATGCTATTAGAGTATATGATTTGCTCAATAAAACTTTGTTAGAGTGTATCACTACAACAAAAATAGTCTTTAGAGACGAAAACTAATGACGAATTTTTTTTTTGTCACGATAAACGTATCTTTTAATGACGAAAATCATATTTCGTCTCCAAATGTACCATTTTTGGAGACAAAAATAAAATTTCGTCACCAATCTAAATCATAATAAAAAAATTAGGTGACGAAATTATTTTTCGTCATTATTTATAATTTTTTTGTCACCAAATATTTTCCCGCTAATATTTTCGGAGGGTGCCAAAATTTTGAGACTTTTAGTGACGAAAAAATTAGTCACTAATTATAAAATTATTAATGACGAATATATTTTTGTCACCAATAATTTTTAATATTTTAATATTATTTAGTGACAAAACGATTTTTGTGACCAATATTTCTATCTTTGGTGAAGAAATAATTTTGTCACTAATAAATAATTTAGTTACTAAATATTTAGGGGGGAAAAAAAAAAGTTTTGGCGCCTCAAACACCCACAATAATTTATCGGTTCAACCCTATTTCTCTCTCACACACACACACACACACACACACAGAGGCGACGCCGCTGCTCACTCTCCTCATCGATTCAGACACAGATTCATCGCCGATCGGCTCACTCTGCTCACCGCCGTCACCCTCTCCTCACCGCCGCTGATCTGTTAGCTTCTCCTCTCCTCACCGCCCCTCGCTGCTGTGCCGATCTAGCCTCTCCTTCCCTTGCCGATCTCATCTCCTCTTCTCACTGCCGCTGATCTGTTAGTCTCTCTCTCTCTCTCGTTGCTCTTTTCTCTCGATGCTCTCTCTTTCTCTCTTTTCTTTTGCTACTCTGTGTTCTGTATACATTATATTGTTATACATATAATATATATATATATATATATATATATGTATCCTGCTCTATTTTATTTATAATTAGATTCTGAATATAATTAGATTCTGAATATGAACCTTGTAATTTGCTTAAGACATGAACCTTGTAATTTGATATTTTATAAAAAATAAATTTCTTATAGATATAGAGACAGACATATCAAAGGGGGTTGGGGAACAAGATTGTGTTTTTTTTTTTATTTATTGAAGAAACATACTGTGAATTATTAATTGAGCCCAGTTTTGTTGTCCAATGATTAAATGGAATTTCAAGTATAACATGAGCACTCTGTTGGGTGGATGAGAATCACTCAATCACTTGTAGTGATTGAAACCCACAGAGGAATTGCAAAACTCATTCAAATTACTAAATTTGAATAACATACAGAGCAACTCTTACAAATTTGTTTTCTTCTCTCTGACTCTCACCACTTCACACTTTTACTCTAAACATACATACCTATTTATAGATATAATACAAACAATAAAAACAGAACACTTTGTGGACTTCTTCTCCTGAATCACATGACAGCGGTGGAGGAGGCAAGCGTGCTTCTTAGCTTGTGAATGACAGCTATTTTGGACTTCCTTTCTTAATCTGTTGGAAGTTCTCTGGATCAAAAACTCAAAACAATGATCAAACTCACGTTCACAGTTCAAATCTTTGAGCTATATATACAGGGTAAGATTGTCCAAGAAAAAAGAAAAAAAATATTAGTATGTCCTTCATGAAGAACACACCTCTTGCCCAGGGATTTAAAAAATAAAATATTTTAAATTGTCCTTTACACATTAACATGTTGAGCTTAAAAAATTTAGTTTGGCTAAATTTTTTAAAAATCTAAACAGAAGAGCCGAACCAACCTTCAACTAACACTTAACGAGAAATTATTCAATAAATCAAGTACACCATATCAATATACTAATGTGATATGTCCAATCAATAAAATTTTTAAAAAAATGTAGTAATTACTAACAAAATTATTATAATTACCCCATATATTATGATTTTTTTCTCGCATATTATTCCCATTCACGTAAAATTCCTAACTCATGACCCACTATAAACACAATTATCCTTTTGTTTAAAATAAAATAATAATAATAATAAAAAACGGTTACCCCAATCTCTCCGAACACGGTCCAGATCATGCCATGTGGCTAGTATGCGCCGAATATTTCAAACCACCCAATTTGAATGTATGATAAACCACCCAACTTGAATGAATGATATTCCTGTGTTTCCTAATTGGATTTAAAATATATGCAATACAGGAACATCACCTCTTTTAAGAAGAGGATCTCTTGTCTTGATTTTTTTTCCATGGAAACCTTCACTACTCTACAATATGATTTAAAAATTTTGCGTGAAATATTAATTCAAGGGATTGGAACTTCCTTGTTATGAAATATTTGGAGTTAAAATATATACATTACAATTCGAAACATTGGGATTATGTTTGGGATTATGTTTTTCTTCTTTTATTTAATGGTGAATAATTATATTGTCTATATTTTCCAATTAAAGTTGAATTATGTTATATAGTTGTAGAAAATGGTCAAAGGAAAAAGACAATGGCTGAAACCAGGTGATTTGAGAACTAAGAAGCTAACAGAATATGAGAAACAAACAAATAAGCGAATCAAGAAGAACTATGAGGTAATGAACAATCTTGGAGTGAAGAATATTACAAATTCTTTGATGAGTGTGGTTCAGCCCAAATGTGCAATTGCAAAGGAAAAAGGGAATTAGGGTTGAGGTAGATGATGATGATGAGTATAATCCGTCAGAGAGTGAGAACGATAGTGATAACGAGTCATTGGGTTCCTTTTATCGCAAGGTATTATATACATTATTTTATATTTGTGTGTGAACATATCATTTACTATTTAAATATCTTCTTCATATATCTTAAACATCATATCTTTTTTAAAATATATTTTAACTGTGTTAAATATCTTCTTTACTATTCGATTATGTTATTTCAAGAACAAGAGATGCCACCGGGGTTACGTTTACAGCCTTATTCGAGGCCATTAACTCCCACCCCAGAAGAAGGGATGGATCCCCCACGTCAAGAGATTGGTACCCAACCCTTACCACCTCATAATGTGCAACCTGTGCATGAGGTGACTGCATCTAGTAGTGTTGGTAAGTTTGCAAAGTCGTTTATATTTAATTTAAGGTCTAACTTGCATTTGTTTACTTATTAACTCAATTAACATTATGTCCTTACAACATCACATGACAGACGTGGTCGTGGTCCAACACGCGGCATACAAACCCAACGCATTGTCCAGAAAAATGGAAAGATGTTGGTTCCTGTACCTGAACATTTCCATGCGCCAGTGGGAGATCAAGCCTCTAAGTTGGCCTCCAAGATTGGCATAGAGGTTCGAACGCAATTACCAGACTTGAGCATTTGTAGGTACTGCTCCTTTAGCCAGAATTCTCCCAATTCGGATCATGCCAAATTTTGGGTTATTAGTTTCTTTTTTTGGTTCTAACTCTTGGTATTTGATCATGACTGTGAATTCATCTCATATGTCACCAACTTGGTTTCTTTTTATGTTATTTGATTTGAATTATCTTATTTTTACTTATCAAAATAATTGAACTTTATTTTGTAGATTGATTTAGCAATGTTTGGTGGTGAACTATTGTGTCAGGTACAGCTAATTCATTGTCTATTTTTCTCTTGTTATGTTAAGAAATTATTTGAAATTCTTTTTTTCCTTATTTTACTGTTGTCGCTTGGGATATTTTTCTTTTCTGTCAATGCCTTAATTACCTTTTAGAATTACTTATGGTAATTGAAGAACCATTCTGATACAGTTTTTAGACAATTAAGCCATTTAATTGACAAGAAGTGGAATAGTAAAGAATTCATGGTATAATGTTTTATGTTAATTGTCAAAAATTAATTTTCTTCTTACTAATGTTAAGTTTTGTTGTTTTTATTGGTGTTTCAATCGTGTAGGAACAATCACTAACTAATGTGAATAATAGGATGCAAATGAAAACAAAACATAGATGTGGATCAAAATCAATCCCGGTTAGGGTGCACAGCTCGGTGTGTTCTGCTATTTTATTTTATCAGATTAGTAGGCTTTGTTATTTAAATATTTGAAATAACATTCAAAAACAAATGAATCAGATAATTGCAAATGGAGAAGTTCCTGATTTGGCAAAGTTTTACAAGTCCATCCACTATAATTCGAACACACATGAATGGATTTCGTCGGAGAGCCAAGCTAATTATGTATGTACAAGGCAATGCATATTAATTTTGATAAAATTATTTATTTGCTTTGTAGGGTAGAATAACTAATAATTGTTCGATTTATTTTAAATTAACAGGACAACATGATAAAGACGCAAGCCGAACACCTCTCGCAGACTGGTGTGATCCCTTTAAGCCAAGAGGAGTTGTCAGTTAAGGTGCTTAAGCCAAGGTCAGGTTATGTGAAAGGACTCGGCTTGAGGCCTTCTTCTTCTATGAAGACTATTGTTGCACCTGCTGAAAATAGTGACTATGTTCAACGCCTTGAGATGCAAATAGCACAGCAAAATGAACAAATTGCAAGGTTTCAAAAGTCAGAGAAGAAACAAAGCAAGAAGATACAAAGTATCATAGAGTGTTTGACGCAGAAAGGTATCACGGGAAGTTTTGAGAGTGGGGAAAGTTCAGATTCTGATGAACAAGCTTCTTGGTTAGTATATTATGTTTATATGTTAATTTAGTAGAACATTTCTTCTTTAACTAGGGTAGAATAAAAAACTACTTTTGACATTTAGGCACAAGGTCCCGGGAAAATAGTGAAGTATGCATCTAAAGGCCCGAAAAACATCACAAACACCTTGAGATTATCAGAAATTATCACGAACACTTTGGGAGGAATCAACATAAGTTGTGAAAACTTACAGAACAATCATAGGGCTCTCGGTTGGAAAACATTTAGGCTTGAAAATAGGCCGTTAGGGAGTAAAATCTTGAAATAGTCGTTAAAAGGCCAAGAAATATTATGAACACCTTGGGAGGAACTAAATGTAAGTTGTAAAAATTTACGGAACAAGTACGGTAAAAATTTGGTTTAAAATTTACTTTGAAATTTTTATTTTTTTCTCTTATAGGTTGCATATTAACATATTTAGTGAATGGTTACTTTAACCCTTTGTTGTTGTTGTCTTTTTTTTTATTTTTTCTTTTTTAAATGACAGATTGGAGATGAACGAATTTGGTAACCTGCATAGCAAGAGTCTTTTGTTGATATTACCAGACACATCCATCACAGTGTAGTTGTACTTTTTGTTGATATTACCAAACATGTATTTTGACTATGTTGTTGTGGGCTATGATTATATTGTGATGGATCTTATATTTTTGTTGATATTTTATTGAATAGATTAAAATGAACAGGTTTTTGTTGATATTACCAAATGAACAGGTTTTTGTAATGATTTGTAATGGATATTATATTCAGCAGGTTATTAAAATGCACAAGTTATTTTGATTGTGTTGTAGTTTTTGATTTTACTAAAATAGATGTTATAATTTGGATGTTATATATTAATTTCTTGATACTATGAGACATGTATTTTGCTCGGGTTGTTTTATGATAATGAACAAGTTAATTTTATATTGATTTGTATTAAATATTTTATTTAATAGATTATTAAAATGTACAGGTATTGTTTATTGAAAAAAATATATAAATCGCAAATATAACCCTCCCCTCAATTTTTAAAAATTATTTATTATTGGTGACAAAAAAATTGACACTAAAACTTTCTAATCCCAACAAATAATTTTGTCACACATATTCACTATTTCATCACTAAATTAAAATATTTCTTGACAAAAAGTTTTCGTCACTAAAAACTTTATCACTATTTTTAATGACGAAATATTTTGTCACCCAAAATAAATATAATAAAATTTTATTTAATTTTGATGACGAAATGGATATTATAGATGACAAAATATTAAACATTTAGTGACGAAATATTTCGTCACCAAATGCCAATAATAGGTGACAAAATAAATTTTCGTCACCAGGTACTTTTAGTGACGACGAATTGGTGACGAACGTGATGACGAAATTATTTCGTCACGGATCAATTTGGTGACGAAAATTTCACTATTGGAGACGAAGTGATTTTGTCATTAAAGTATCATTTTGTTGTAGTGTATGATTTGTTTATAGGTGTAGAGTAATTTAATATTTTTACGGTGGTATTATTTTCACATTTCATTTTTATTTTGTTTGTTCATTGAAAGTGCATTCAAAGAAAGAAATGTTATTGATATACTTTTAATGAAAAACTGTATTCATACAAAAGAGTATTACAAGTATGTAAAATTAATTTGGAACTTAGTTTAGGGTTAAATTTTGGAATTGCTTTAATAATGAGTTTTGCAGAAATTGATATCTATATATTAATACTTAGAATTTGATCTAGAGTTAGTTCTTCACATTACAGTTTGAATCATATATAATATATATATATATATATATATAGAATAAAACTGTGAGTACTTTTTTTGAACATTAAAAATTAGCCCACCAAGTATGTAATTAGGGCCTCCTGTGCCTAAGATTTTTAAAGTAATTTTTTTAGTTTAAAAAAAAAACCATTTTGTCATTTTTCAAATATCAAAAAGTAAATTAAAAAAAAAAACTTATTTCATAAAACAAGCTAAAAAGTAAAAATTTTAAAAATTATCACAGTTTAGTCCCACCCAAAAAGAAAATCTTATTCTTTTTACTCCCTAATTCATCATGTTGAAATTTTTTAAAAATCTATCTTTTTTAAAATAAAAAAGAAGAAGTTACTCTAAGTTATACAAAATTAAAATTAAAAATAAAAATTTCATTCAGTTTCTTTCCTTTTTTTAAAAAAAAATTATTAAAAATGAAAAATAGTAAAAGAAAAAAAAAGTCTTCCTAAATGAGCATTATTAAAAAAAAAAAAAGTTAAGAAAACTAACAAAATTACTAAACAATATGACTTATTTCACTATTAAAAAAAAATGCAATATGCTATAACTTTAAATGAATAAATAAATAAAATGAGATTATCCAATCCTTTTAATAGATAGTATTGTAAATGAATTTTTTTATTTTATTTATAACAAAGACTGTTTTTAGAGTTTTAAGGTCTCAAACTACAATTTTTTTTTTTTTAGAAAATCTATTGTTTATGCCATTCAATCCTAAATATTTGTAACTTAAAATTTTCATAATAGAAATCGTTACAAATAATTTAAAAAGAAATGTCTTACACAATTATTTTGTTATTTATAAAGTTCTTAAATTCTATTAATTTTAAAATTTCATTTAATTGAGATCTTTTAAATAATATTTTTAATTTTTAAATAGGACGAACACATTTCATAAAATTATTTGTACCTTCTATTTTATTTTAGTAAATTGCACATATTATTTATACATTTTAAAGGAAAAAATATTGAATGTATGGGTTGGGGGAGAGAAAACTAATAAACCAAATTATTTATTGTTATATTTTTAAAATATATATATATATATATATATTGATTAACGACTAAATTTGTTTGGATGGGGAGAGTAAGCAATTAATATACAATTCATAAATTTATATTTAATCTTTACTTATGAGTAGTAAAATGAAAAACATATTGAATGTAAATAATATGTATCTTATTAAAAAAATAATATATTATTTTATCTTGTGCATAGCACGAGTCATAAGGTAGTATATAAGTAAATGTAGTGAAGTATGAAATTTTTTTAAATTCTTAATGCTAACTTCTTATGAATTCTCTCTTTGTCAGATAATTTTTAAAATAAAAAAATAACTATTTATGTATGAATAACAAATGTAAGAGGAGTTAGCTTGAGCCCAATAATTTAATTGGGCCTAATCAAAGCCCAATCGAAAAGCTCAAAGATTGGTGAGCTTGGAGAAATTATTGCCAAAGGGGCCAAGTGAATTTTATTAAACGGGCCCAAAAGAAAGTCAACAAATTGGGCCGATGAGGATACATTTCAATCATATATCTTTAAAGAAAGTCCAACAAGCCCATCCGAGGAGGCTCAGATCATACAGGCGTCAGAGGAAGTTAACCATTGTTTTCAGAATAGATGAAACCCTCAGAGGAGATCCATTCTTCGAGGTATTGACTTAGTCTTGAAAGGGTTCAGAACCACAAACCTAAAGACCTATTTGAGCTCGGACTCGAAAGGGTTCGGATCCACGAACCTAGAGATTCGAAATGCTTGGCTCTGAACGGATTCAGATGCATTCTAGAAGTCGTCCCATTAATGAGTCCTAAAACACTTGCGTACTAGAAGCTTTTTTGGGATCTATGCACCTAAACCATGGGCGTAATGAAGTTCAAACAAAGGACCCAATCTTGAGGATATTGAGTAGAGATAAATTTACTCTTCAATTAAATTAGCCTATACCGGGGTCGAGGTGACACGATTTAGGGGGTTCCTGAGACTCAGCAATATTTGCGACAAGGCGTCGACTTGAACTACCTCTGACCCTTCTACGATAGGGTGTTCTCTAGGACTACCCTTGACCCCTTTGGGATAATTAGAGATCATTGGTTAGGTGTGGCCAAGAAGAAGGGTTCACCGAGAGGTTGATCTTCTCTTCAGGATTTTCCTCATCCTCAGAAAGGTCACCTCCTCGGCCAAGGTAGTTAGAGGGAATATTCCCTATGTGCCTCGCACATGGGCTCCATCCTACATAATGAGGTGTCTATAAATAGCACCCACCCATAGCTTTACAAGGGATAAATTTTAGAAAGACAATTCTTGGGTAAGAACTAATTTTCCCTCTCCATTATTTACCTTGAGAGTGAAAGTGGGATATCCATGGGAGAGCCTTGCAATTATTCTCTTTTTAAGTACTTTGCTTTTTTCTTCACCCAATCTCTTATCTCCATCATCTTTTTGCTATTGTCTTATCATTTCTAGAGAATTCAAATTTTTCAGCGAGCTTTCGAATTTTTCAAAAACATTCTTGAACCCAAAAAAAATAGAGATGAAAAAAATAAAAAAATAAAAATATAACTATTTAGATTTGAACTGCAAAATGAAAATTTAAATAAAAGATAACAAAATATTTAAATAAAAAAAAATTACGATTAGGATATAAATATCCCAAAAAGATGATAATTTTTTTGACTATCTATATTTATCTTTTGTTAGTTTGTTATAGAATTCTCATATATTTCAACTTAATCTTTTTAAAGTTTATCTTCAAGTTGAATTTAATATTTTATCTTTTAAAATTATCAATTAATTATCCATATAAATTTTAAATATGATAGAATTCCATATATATCTTTTGTCTTTGCATAATCTTTTCAATATAAAAACAAGTTCCTGTGAAAGGAACCATGAACAGAAAATTGGAGGGAAAAACAATCAACATTGAACTATTTCTGATCCCTTTTTGGTGCCTAAAAATCTTAAATATTTGCTTTAGATTTGAAATGTGTACTTGTATGAATTTTTGCATTGTGAGAAAGTGAGTTTATGTAAATGGATATTATTATTTTATTGTTATATATTTTTTTGTTATAATTTGTATTTTTCTTTATTTCTTTCTTTTTGCTAATATTGTGTCATTTAATTGAGATTTTATTTTCATTTTTGTTAAAGCACTACTATTATCAATTTGTAACTCTTTTACTTACTGACTATTTGTGTTTAAGTTTTTTTTGGTACAGATGTTAGATTGAAAATGAAGAACACATCAAAAATTATTGGATATGGGTTTATACTTTAAATATATTCATCAGTTGATTTTTTATTATTGATTATCTTGTTGAAATAAAACTCATGATTAAATTTCTTTTCAGTAATTCATTTCCTTTGAGAACTAAATCAGAAATTTCTTCCCTTTTTTTTTAATTTGTTTTTATTTAGATTCAGAGTTTGAGTAAATGGAAGAGATCTCATATTAAAAATGTTAATTGTTTTTTTTGAATAATTTAAATATTTATAATCTTTATGTTTGTCAATTCAATTTTAATGCATTTCCAAACTTTTTATTTATTTATTTATTTATTTTTTATAATCATTCCAAACCCATTTATGTTTAATGACTCAATATAACCAAAAAACAATAGCATGTAAAAAAAAAAAAAAATTAACCTCTAACTGAATATAATGGGAATTAAAATTAATTTTATTTTAATTCATTATACTATGTGGGATGATTAATGTAATATCTACTATTGATCAAACAAAATTAGTGTTACTTGTATTTAATATTAGTCATTTTGATTACATATAATTTGACTTTGTTACTCTACTTTTGATTGTCTGAAGTAATTCTTAAATAAATTAGTTATTATTTATGTGATAATTTACTTAAT